TTCCAGCACTCTGTGCTGAGCTCTGTATACTTGGCTCTCTTGCGTTCGTGGGCCTCTTCGATCCTGTCTTCCCAGGGGACTGTCAGTTCCAGGATAACTACTTGTTTGGTGGACTCCGATGTTAGTACCACATCTGGGCGGAGAGAAGTAGTTGTGATGTTGGCTGGGAACTTGAGCTGTCTTCCGAGGTCGACTTGAAGCTGCCAATCACGAGCGGTGGTGAGGAGCCCCCCTGTAGAGTTGGGATGGTGATGTTGTGCCTTCTGCCCTGCTCTAATGAATGTGATTGCCTGTTTGGGGGCTGCCTGGGTCTTGCTGTGCTGGATCGCTGTGCTGATGGTTTCTGCCAAAGCTTTTAGGACTTGGTCATGGTGCCAGCGGTACTGCCCCTCTCCTAGCGCTTTAGGGCAGCAGCTCAAGATGTGCTCCAGGGTGCCCCTCTTCTGGCACAGTTTGCACTTGGGAGTGTCTACCAGTCCCCAGGTATGTAGGTTGGCCGGGCTGGGGAGGACATCATACACTGACTGGATGAGAAACTTGGTGCGAGATGGTTCTGCTTTCCAGAGCTCTGCCCAGGTGATTCTGCAGGAATCAGCCTGCTCCCACCTGGTCCACGCTCCTTGTTTGGACATGCCAGCAATCTTACTGCTGCGTTCTTCCTCCACCTCTGCACGTATCTCGTCCTGGATCAGTCGGCGCTTCTCCTCTCCACAGGCCAGATCATAACGCGGCTTTGGAAAGGAGCCAAGACCTGCTCATCCCGTTGCCACAGAGCCCACCAGCACTTTATGCCTCAGTCGCACCTCGGCTCTAGTGACGGCTTCTTGTGCCCGCCACTTCCTCCTGGTTTTCACGAGGATTCCTGCTGCTGCAACTTTGGTGTCTGCGGAGTCCCTGTACTAAGTCTTAATATCAATTATTTTAAGACAGACATTTGCTGCACCGCAGATCCACACTGACTCAAACTTGCGTACACGATGTCTGACCTGTCGTGAGATCTATCTATCTATCTATCTATCTATCTATCTATCTATCTATCTATCTATCTATCTATCTATCAGTAATGATTTTATTACAACTTTATTCTCATAAGTGATGATTTTTAAAGTAATTATAAAGTCTTGTTTTGTTTTCTCTTGATGTGACTTGATAGGCTTCATAAGTCCACTATGTCCAGATGTTAATACAGTCTATGATTTGCACAAGTGAATTGATTATTTTATAGATGGCTACTTTGGAAGTGCCAGTGTTTATGTTGATGTCTATTTTTATATTATTTTAGCTTCAGACTATGCAGTCTGTCACTGAATTTTAGTTCTGATAGACATGGCTATGCTACTAGACATGCTAAGAGAGGAAATTTAACACTACCCAAAACAAAACAAACAAAAAAACATAATAAAACGAATGTTTATGTACAGAGCTATGCAAGAATGAAACAAATTACCAGAAAATATTACAAAAGAAATTAGTAAAATACTTTTTAAGAAGTTAGTCAAGAAACACCTATTCACCATAGAGCTTTAATACTTATCACAAGATAATGGTAAGTACGAGCATGACCATAAATAAATAAATAAATAAATAGCTAGATGGACAGCTGGCTGGCTGGCTGGCTGGATGGATAGACAGATAAATAAATAAAAGGCACCTTTTTGCAACAGAAATAATCCTTGAGAAAATGTATATCAGAAATATAAAACTGTTTTAAGTACTGTCTGAATGGCTTGATTCTGGAATAGATAAGACATTGAAGGGCTAAAGAATATTAAGGTTTAATAAAGTGAACAATATACATAATATATGTAGACCTATTTTGATATAATATGTAAAGATTATACAGTATTGCTGACTAGGAGCTGACTTGTTTTGTCCATTGTTGTGTTGTGTATCTGTTTGTATTCTGTTTTTTTATTTAAACAAAGATTATATTATATGTGATATACTGTATATATTTTTTTACATTGATACATTGTAAGGTTGTTTAATCGACCCCAGGGAACATAGCTTTGGCATTGCCATGGCTAATAATCCAAGTAAATCAAATCAGATCAAATCTGTTTTCCAAATTTTTCCAAACCGAAGTTGGGAAATTGTGATAAACGTAAATAAAAACAGAATACAATGATTTGCAAATCTTTTTCAACCTTTATTCAATTGAATACACTACAAAGACAAGATATTTAATGTTAAAACTCAAAAACTTTTTTTCTTTTTTTGCAAATAATCATTAACTCAGAATTTCATGGCTACAACACTTGCCAAAGTAGTTGGGACAGGGGCATGTTTACCACTGTATTACATCACCTTTCCTTTTAACCACACTTAATAAACGTTTGGGAACTGAGGAGACTAATTGTTGAAGCTTTGAAGGTGAAATTCTTTCCCATTCTTACTTGATGTACAGTTTCAGTTGTTCAACAGTCCAGGGTCTCCGTTGTCGTATTTTACACTTCATAATGCGCCACACATTTTCAATGGGAGACAGGTCTGGACTGCAGGCAGGCCAGTCGAGTACTTGCACTCTTTCACTACGAAGCCATGCTGTTGTAACACGTGCAGAATGTGGCTTGGTATTGTCTTGCTGAAATAAGCAGGGGCGTCCATGAAAAAGACGTTGCTTGAATGGCAGCATATGTTGCTTCAAAACCTGTATGTACCTCTCAGCATTAATGTTGCCTTCACAGATGTGTAAGTTACCCATGCCTTGGGCACTAATGCACCCCCATACCATCACAGATGTTGGCTTTTAAACTTTGCGTCGATAACAGTCCGGATGGTTCTTTTCCTCTTTGGCCTGGAGGACACAACGTCCACTATTTCCAAAAACAATTTGAAATGTGAACTCGTTAGACCACAGAACACTTTTTCACTTTACATCAGTCTATCTTAGATGAGCTCCGGCCCAGGGAAGCTGGCGGCGTTTCTGGATGTTGTTGATAAATGGCTTTGGTTTTGCATAGTAAAGTTTTAACTTGCACTGACAGATGTAGCAACGAACTGTATTTACTGACAGTGTTTTTCTGAAGTGTTCCTGAGCCCATGTGGTGATATCCTTTACAAATCGATGTCGGTTTTTGATACAGTGCCACCTGAAGGATAGAAGGTCATGGGTGTTCAATGTTGGTTTCTGGCCGTGCCGCTTATGTGCAGTGATTTCTCCAGATTCTCTGAACTTTTTGATGATATTATGGACCATAGATGTTGAAATCCCTAAATTCCTTGCAATTGTACTTCAAGAAACGTTGTTCTTAAAATGTTTGACTATTTGCTCACGCAGTTGTTCACAAAGTGGTGAACCTTGCCCCATCCTTGCTTGTGAATGACTGAAAATTTTTGGGGAAGGTGCTCTCATACCCAATCATGGCACCAACCTGTTCCCACTTAGCCTGCTCACCTGTGGGTTGTTCCAAATAGGTGTTTGATGAGCATTCCTCAAATTTCTCAGTATTTTTTGCCACCTTTCCCAACTTCTTTGGCAAGTTTTCCTGCCATGAAATTCTAAGTTAATTATTATTTCCAAAAAAAACAAAACAAAAAAAAGTTTATGAGTTTGAACATTAAATATCTTGCCTTTGTTGTGTATTCAATTGAATAAAGGTTGAAAAGGATTTGCAAATCATTGTATTCTGTTTTTATTTACGTTTATCACAATTTCCCAACTTCAATGGAATTGGGTTTTGTACAACATTGAAAAGTTTCCTTTAAAGCTGTCTAATTTCCATAAACAGATGCTTCTTTCTTGCCCCTTAATTTACGAGCGCTATTTCTCACCTCACAAATACTACATCTCGAACAATAGAGATATATTATACAAATGTAAATCTATATTTTTGGAAAACTGGTTTGACCATGGTATCTATCTAGTCAAGCAGCTTCTCAACTCTAATGGTTTTTCATTGACTTACTCTCAATTTCTCAACAAGTACAGTATACTCATATCTCCAAAGGAATATGCTGTTGTTTTAGACGCTATTCCGTCTGGTGTTACTGTGTTACTCTAAAGCTCCATTACATCTGAACTGTCTTTTTTGGAATTCGACCCTGCTGTCACTACTGTTGGTCAGATTTATTTCTCTACTAAGACGAGTAATAACAACTGTAATATGCGTGCTTTATTTCAAAAGTACCTAATCTCTGTTCCAAATGTAATTTCTCACTGGAATGGCCATACCCCAGACTTGAACTGGAAAAGAATCTGGTGCCTTCCTTCTAAATTTCTGGTTATAAACAAGATTAAGGAAGTTTCTTTCAGAATGATCCATGGAGAAAGAAAACAATGTGAAGATCTTTGTCATCTGTTCTGGTTCTGTCCCTTTTCATCTGTTTTCTGGAAAGATGTTTGTACATTTATTTCCCAGAATATCTTGTCAGGTGTGTCTATTACATATGTGAATGTGCTGTTTGGGTTCCACTCCTATCCTGCCAACACCAAAGATCATTATTACATCATCAACTTGCTTGTTCTACTTGCAAAATACCAAATACACATATCCAAATTGACTAATCACAATCCATCATTTTTAATTATTAAGAAGGAAATAATAGATAATTTATAACTCTTGTGTATATAATAGATACATTTTAGAGACATATTATGTGAGACAACAGACAATTGAATTTTCCTTTGGGGATTAATAAAGTTCTTCTTATCTTATATTCAAACAAAAAAGCTATTAAAACCACTGAGTTATGCATTTTATATAATATTTTATTGAACTAATAGCAATGCTTTGTATACCATTTGAATACTGTGACCCCCTGACATTGTATTGTTCTTTGTTTTGTGTTTTTACTAAATGTAATTCCTGACTTGTCAACAAAGCTGGCTGTGACAGGAGTCGCACTGGGTGCAGCAGTACAATGTTGAAAGCAGACCCACAAATTAATTTGCATAATATGGTGCTATAGCCCACAAAAACTTAAATGCATGGCGATAATGATGCCAATAGTATATCGGCATAAAAACTTGTATTATGTAATAAATTGTAAGTATCTATTTATCTTTGGCAAAGTTGCTGTATCCATTCTGCCAGTTTCAGACAGTGTAGGATCCTGACTTTCTCCCTCTGGAGCTCCTCTTGACTAACTTTACCCTGTAGTTTGGCAGAGAAGTGGATCAGATCCTGCATGAAGAGGCCCACTGCCCCCCTGGACGTGGGGGGGAACTGGGTCAGAGTGCCTGTGTCAAACTTAAAGTTGATGTTCTTGGCCCTGGAAAGGTTTGGTCCTCGTTCCTCTATCCATGTCAGAGGTCTAAAGAGACACATAATGATGGAGAATATGAGGACTTCCGACACTTTTGTGGTAAGATGAATGCTGAGGTTAGTCTAAGCAATCTTTCTGTCTGTCACAGTGGTCACTACCAGATTGGGTGACCATAGTGCCATAAAATTGCGCCCTGACTTCACCTACATACACAATGGACTACATGATGGTACACAACCAGTGACCATGATCGTCATGATACTGTTGAGGGGCAAAGGGGCTGGACAACACCTGGAAATGCTACTAATTAAAGATAAGATAAGATATACCTTTATTAGTCCCACAGGCAGAGGTGTCAGGTAACTAAGTACAAATACTTTGTTACCTTACTTGAGTAGAAATATGGGGTATCTATACTTTACTGGAGTAATTATTTTTTAGCCGACTTAATACTTCTACTCATTACGTTTTCACGTAGTTATCTGTACTCCTTACATTTTTAAAATAGCCACATAACTCCTATTTCATTTCGGCTTGTTTTGGTTTTCATTGCGACTTCTTACCGTTTAAAAAAAACACACCCCCTCCTCAAAATCCTATCCAGATAAATTGCGTCCAGCTTAGTTTTTGTTCCTTCATTCTGAACGCAGCGTGCTAACTGGGTTACGGCCGGGAGAGAGACATGCCCAGAAAAGTCAGAAGTAAGCTAAGTGGACTACTGCTGATGAGTGTGTGTTCACCTGTGTGCGTGCATGTGTCTGTATGTGTGTTTGTGTGTGCATCAGGGCGAAACTCCATTGCGTGCAACTTATAGAGCAATGTAAACACGCAACCATGTAGCGATAGAAATTAGGTGGTGTCGTGTAAATAAGATAAACAAACTATTTAGTTTGTTTAATAAAAGGGCAAAGTATCAGCGTGTTCTATACTAAAGGTATCCTTATGACTTCTGTTATCTAGAAAAAAAAGAACAAAGTCTTATTTTGAGCATCACTAGTTGTTTTGAAGCCAGAAACTCTCAACAGTTTAGGGTTATTTTTGTCATATTTTTTTGTAAACAAAACAGTGTTTTTCCAAATAAATTAAGTGGTGAGACAGTCAGCTCTCGTTTTATAAGCAGCAAGGAAACTTTTACTTTTGGCAGAAAAAATGCAAACGCAATTACAAATGAAATAACTAATGTCAACATATTACATAAAACTTTGTTTCAATCAGTGGGTGTTAATTTCAGTATATTTGCATTGTACTGAAATGTGTTAATTTCTAACGGGCATAAATGCAGCTGAAACAGTTGCATCACAACTTTTTCAACATTAACATTTTAATATTATAGTCACTATGGCCTTTAGAAAAATGTTTTTTAGGGGAGGTGGGTAGTGCACTAAGTTATGTAAGGGGGAAAAAATGCCATTAAGGACAAAAGCTTAGGCCATGGCCCACATGAAGTATTTTTGAAACCATTACTTTTACACTTTTACTTGAGTAAAAAGCTTGAGTCAATACTTCAACTTCTATAAAAGTCTTTTTTAACCCTAGTAGCTATACTTTTACTTAAGTAATGAATGTGAATACTTTTGACACCTCTGCCCACAGGGGGAAATTCCAAAAATTACAGCAGCATAAATACAAATACAAACGAAAAATTAAAGGATAAAGAAACTTATATACATGTTTACAGAATATACATATAAATGTGGTTTATTGCACACTGAGGATTCTGTTGTGGAGTCTGACAGCTGCAGGAAGGAATGACCTGCAATACCTCTCAGTCACCCACTTCGGGTGAAGCATCCTGTCCCTTAAAGAGCTCCTCAGAGCAGTGAGTGTTTGTTGGAGGGGTTGAGAGTCTCTGTCCAGCATAGATGACAGCTTGGATGTAATCCTCTCTCCCCAACCTCCTCCACAAAGTTCAGTCTCGCTGTACCAGCTTCACTATGCTGCTTTTGCTTTGCTCTTTTTTGATTGGCATTAACTATGAAACATTACACAAGATGAAACAATAAACTTTTGGGTTGGGTAAATACCACTCTTAAACCATGTAGTCTGACTTTCGCATAACATGTTGGTTTGAGTCTGTTAAATGGATTTTGTTGATTATATCTTTGTAGTGGCAAAGCATTCACATTCTTTCTCACCTGTCTTCTATAGTAAGAAGGCGTGCAGTCATTTTACTGTAGTTTTTACCAGAGTCCTCCTCTATAGTGGATGCTGTGACTGACAGCTCACCAAACAATTCCACCAAGATGGAGAGTCGAGCAATGCCGGAGAATGATGGGAAACCAGCTCCAGGCTTCTGAGGTCCCCCTTGGAAAAATTGAGATAGACAAATATTCCAATATTTAATTGGTTTTTAAAGCCCAAGACACCTTTCCACATCAGACTAGTGTTAAAACTACAGCAATTACAATTTTGTTTTGATATAATGAACAATATGACCCCCAGTGTGTTTCCTCCGCTGGTGTATGATTGTGAGTGATATTTGGTGGTGGTCGGAGAGGCTGTAGCTGCAAATTGACAGCCACGTCTCCAACAGTCTGCCCCAGGGCAGCTGTGACTACTACGGTAGATTACTCCCACCGGGTGTGACTGTGTGAGCGAATGAATGATGTATCCAATGTAAAGTGCTTTGAGAGTCTCTTATCAAGTGCTATAAAAATCGGATTCATTATTATTATTAAATTCTAAAACTTGAAACAATGATTTTATTGTCAAACGAAATAGAAAACAGACTCTCACCAGTAAAATGAAGGGTTCCATTTTGCAGGACTTTACCCTGCACCTCTCTTTTAAGTGCTTTAAAGTCCCCTGACAGCAGCTCAATGTGCTCTTCATGGAGAATCAATCCTGTTTTTTGCAAAATAGGGCAAATACTCTATGAAACTCCACCACATAAAATTAAAAAGCATTTTAAAAGCATCAATGTATCCTTCTGACCTGCATGAGCAAAATTAAGGAGCACTTTAGTGTTGTAATATTACCGGTTTTGTCTGCTAAATCCCAAAGTTCCTCAGCAGCTTTGTAGTTCATGGTCATTGGATACTCCACACAGATGTGTTTCTTTGCTTGCAGAAAAGCTCTGATGAGACAGAATATGTCTGGTTAGACAGGAATGTTAAACAGAAACCAGACCTTGTGCTGTCCTCATGTCATACTCCTTTTACAGGCCAGTTTATCTACTTATGTGGCTAAAGATTAATATCCAATATTTTCACTCAAAAGTTAAATAGGTTCTTCATAAAAAAAAAATCTTTATCCCACCTCTCTTCAATAGGACTGATTGTGTTGTTTATTTTCAAGTTTTCTATAAATATTGCAATGACATCAAACCAGGATCCATTCTAGTATGTTTGGTGCTCAGTGTCACTTGGACAAAGAAAGAGATTTGGGGTCCGTTTCACGTAGCAGGTTTAATGGAAACTCAGAGTCTGTTAACCCTAAAATCAGGGAAACTGAGTTTTCCGTTTCACAAAGGAGGGTCAGTTAAACCACGAAGAGAGGGGTAACTCTAACCTGTTTCACAAAGAGAGGTAACTCAACCTCGCGGTCAGTTACCATAGTAACAGACTCCGTGAACCTAACCTGCTTGGGACCAGGGGCCTGTTCTACGAAGCAGGTTCAACTTAGCGAGGTAGGCTTGGCGCTACCTCGCTCAACTTAGCGCGGTAGCCAGCGGTCTCGCTACACGGTTTTACGACGCTGGTTATCAACCTCATAAGTGGATCCAGCTCTGCTATGAGCGCATGCACACATATAAGGCGGAGCCCGCCGCATCTGACCAATCACGGACATCGATCAGTCTGGAGCGTCAGAGCAGGCTGGAGAGTGAAGGACTGCGGACTTTACAAACGAGGAACAGGAGACGATCATGAGAAAGTATGAAGAATTGAAAGCTATCATAAACCTCAAAAGCAACACCGTCGCCGCTGCAAAAGCACGGAGGGAATGCTGGCAGAAAAGTAATCTTTGATGCCATTATCACCCTGAAATAGCACTGTTCAACATGCGCTTTTAACTAAGGTGACAGTCCCCGAATTGGATGATCTGTCCTCGGCTAAAGCTGTCCCCGAAAATGTCCCTGATTTAAGCGCTTCATGAATGAGAACAAAAATGTTGCATGTGGGCAAGAACAACGGTTATTACAGTGGGTAGGAAGCACAAGTAGCAGTATTTACCGGGTTATTATAAGGGGCGTGCGCTGCTACTAAATAGTACCGAGATGTTGTCTGTGATCGCGCAGCCCATGTCCATTCATTCCCAAGATGAATCATTCATTTGTTCATTCCTATCGTGTTTACATGTTTTGTGTAATATGTCGGCCATATGAGCCTTTCATAAAGGTGGTCATCCGGAGAAAACTCTCCCTGAAAACTCTCGCGAGCCGGAGTGCTCCTCCTCGGACAATGCGAGCACCGAGGTCTACAGGATCCTCCAAGAACGGACAAGCCGTTTTTCGAGAGAGCTCATTGGTCAGTGGGCGGGGTTTTTATACTCCGTGAGTTCAATCTGGAACCTAACCTGCCCCGGAGCAGTTTAGCCGTTCAGCGTATGTTGCTATGGAGACTCGCCTCGCTAAGAGGTGAACCCGCGTCGTAGAACAGGAAACCCCGAACTTATCCTCAAAGTTACCTCGCTAAGCAGTAATCCTGCTTCGTAGAACAGGCCCCAGGTTTTACTCAGTAAACCCAGAGTTTCAGGTGAGACATCGGCATTTTCTCATTTTGATCATGTTTTACATTGTCAAGTACATATTAAGTGGCAGTTTGATCCCTTACAAAATGCTATTTTCACACTCAAAAATGAATTTTACTCTCTTATGATGTTCCGTTAAATGATTAGGAATATTAAACTCACACAAAAACGGGTGGTGGCCCAGCAGCCCCACCTTTAACGGAGGCAGAGGAGCTGCCCCCCCTCTCGAACAGATATTTTATATTTAATTTTCAGCTGCTGCCAAGTGCGCTTTTGTCCCGCTGGATTGCACCTACATAAAATAAATAAATTTGCTCCATGCAAGCAGTTTCCCCTGCAACAGTCTGTCATTGTGATTGCACAAGACTAGATTTAAAGTTACGCATTAACGTGAGCAGCAATTTCCTCCCATGCCCTCTCCCTCTCCTTTGCAGCTGCTGCTGTATTGCACTTTCTTTTAAAAACATGCTGTAATTCGCCGTTGGCTTGCTGCTGCCCCCTCCTTCTCCCTGTTTCCATTGGTTGATCAATGAATCTGGGCTCCACAGATGCTGGCTGTTTATGTCTGGCGTGCACGTGCTTAACTCTAGGTCAAACAACTCGGAGTTGCTAAAACTGACTCAAATCAGGTGTTGTGAAACCGGAAACTCAGAGTTTCCTATCTCAGAGTAGATCAACTCAGAGTTAAGGATTTGACTCAGAGTTTGTTGAACCACCTACGTGAAACGGACCCTTGGTTGTAAAATAAAACCCAGATCTATTTTGTTGAGAACTTCATGGCCAAAGTGTTACAGGAGAGAGTACAATACAGAGAAGCCAGGAAGCAACGAAGAAGCGAGGGATAAAGGCATGTGTGCTTTTTCCTGCAGAGCTGAAAATCATAGAAGCAGGGGGGGTTGTGTGTGTTGTGTGTGTGTGTGTGTGATTGTCTGTACTCTCATGTGTCATGTCTCAAGTCATATACTATTTACAGAAGATTTGAGCAGTCTGATGGCTGTGGGTACAAAAGATCTTCTAAATCTTTCTGTCCTGCAGCAAAGAGAGAGGAGCCATCCACCATTATTGGCCCTTTGGCCGATCAAGGTGTTATGGAGTGGATTACCCATTTTCTTTAGAATAGTCTCCACCTTCCTCAGTGTACATCTCTCCACCACTTCCTCCACTGAGTCCAGCTTGAATCTAACCACAGAGCCAGCCTTTTACACCAATTTGATCAGATGTCTTGCATCTTAGCGTTTGATACTTCCTCCCCAGCAGACTGCAGCATAGAACAGAACACTCGCCACCACAGACTGATAAAACATCTGCAGCATCTCACTACAAATGTCTTTTGATCGTAGTCTTCTCAGGCAAAAGAGGCAGTGTGTGTGTGTGTGTGTGTGTGTGTGTGCGCGCCTCGTCCACCTGCCGCTCTGTGCATATGTATGAGTGTGTGCGCGCAGCTGTGCGCGAGCGAGGCTTTTGGTGCGTGTGTGATGGGGGCGTGGCTGTTCGGACAAAAAAAAACATGTTTTGAAACTTTGTTCGTCCACCTAATAACAATTCAGTCTCGTCTCGTTCTCGTCTGACGAAAATCAATACAATTTTCGTCACATTTTAGTCTTTACAGAGTTTTGGTGACGTTCGTCTTAGTCTCATTTTCGTCAAGGAAAAAAGGGGTCTGACGTCGTCATTTAAGTTTTCGTCCTGCCTGACGAAAACAACACTGTTCCCAATGAGCTAAAATGGCATGGGGAAGCTTTCCCATTGGAAAGCTGTGGTTGTCCAGAATACAATGGTATCTTTAATTTTTGTCTACCTCAAAATTTGACCATGCCACGCTCTCGGAAAGACAGTGTCGTCAGTGATCCTGCCTGCAAAAACATTTGTGTCATAGGGGTGACAAAAGATTAAAAAGCACACCTTTGGGAAATAAATCTTTCTTGGGAATATCAAAATCCTTTTTTAGAGGTCTTAAGGATGATAAAAATCCTGACTAGAAAAAAAAATAAGGGGGGGGGGGGGGGTACGTGGAGGTCTCCTAAGTGCCCTACTATTTCACACATTTAAGTGATCTGATCACAAAGCTTGTGACATTGTTCCGTGCAGTGGGCTCTGGTCCAAATGCTTATTTTGAGCTGACACCTGTACTATTTCAGACTGTGGAGGAGCTCTCAGGGGGAGAAAATTTGCCACATGTTGAGTCTAATGCAGATGTTGTTACAATAGCAGGGTAGCAAGAACTTCACATGTCCAGTCTACCCCAGGCAGAATCTGAGATAACTGCCCCAATAAAATCTAACATTCAAACTTTGTCGGATCTATCAAGACATAATAAACAGGAAAGGAAGAAATCAAAAAGAAGAGCTCTGATGCAAAAGACAAAAGTTGCAATTGATAAAAATGCAAAACAGCGCGAACAATATGCCAAAGACAAATCTTAACAGCAACGTAAAAAGTCTTGTATAGTTGATCAGTACAGAGAGGATCCGGAGTTTAAACAGAGAAGGAGGTCTTACTACAACCGTTACTGTGCTGATAATGCTGAGTTAAAACAGAGACAAAGACCTTACATCAAAAACCGTTACAAAAGTGATGTAGAGTTCAAACAGAGACAAAGCTCTTACATCAACCGCCGATACACAAATGATGCACAGTTTAAACAGAGTCAAAGATCTTACATCAACCGCCGATACACAGATGATGCAGAGTTTAAATGGAGACAAAGATCTTACATCAATCGCCGATACACAGATGATGCAGAGTTTAAATGGAGACAAATGTTGTATATAAGAAACCGCTATTGCCAGGATTTTGCATTTAGATCCAAACAAAGGCAGTATATCACAAAGTGTTATGCAAATGATGTCGCATTCAGAGCAAGGCACAAACAAACTATGAGACAGCTAATGAGAGACAAATACAGAAACAACCTTGTAACCAGACTGACCAACAGCATGCGGTGTGCAATTAAGATTAGACAAAAATACAGACATATTAATAGACAGCAAATGGACATGGATGACAGTCAGATTAATGAAGCCATAGAGATTTTCAGATCACACATAAAAGATGGACCCACATATGTATGCACAGTTTGTCACAGAGCACTGTTTCCGAATCAAGTGCGACACTGCAATCGGTCAAAATATGACAAAGAGTGTTGTTGCAGCTTGCCTCTCTGGTGCATATGTTCATGTCTGCAGTGATGAATGCGAAAATTCACAACAGTGCCCAATACCAGAGGAGCGAAAGAGAGAGTGGATTTGTTACACATGCCATGATCACCTTAAGGCTGGTGGGATGCTACCCCTCGCCATGGCTAATAAGTTAGAGCTTGCTGATATACCAGATGAACTGTGTGATTTGAACATTTTGGAACGTCATCTTGTGGCTAAAAGCATACCTTTTGCAAAAATTATTCCACTGTCCAAAGGTCAAAAAAAAGAAAAGAGCAATCCGTGGAAATGTTGTGTGTGTCCCGTCTAACGTACAAGAAACTGTGAATGCTTTGCCCAGACTAAGGAGTGAATCTCAGGTCATGAGAGTGAAGCTGAAGAGATGACTGTGCTACAAAGGTCATCAGCTGTTCCAAACTGTGACCTGGCAAAAACCTGTGAGAGCTCTGCTTAAACTGAGAGAAATCCATCCCCAGTACAAAGACATAACAATCAGAGATGAAGCTGAGTCATGTGACCCAACTCTTCCTGATGATGAAGACACTGACAGTGATGAGGATGACAGGATGGATGATGATGATTACGATGAGGAAGATTTGATGGAGATTGACCGTATTGAGAAAAATGCACTCTGTGAGGCAGAAAGCATTCCTGAAAACAACGAAGATAATAGTCAATCGGTCAGGTAATAATGGCTGTGAGCCAGAGAAACAGTCTGATAACATGGAGGGTGATGAACCGAACGGTGGTGTTGTCCTTGAATCATGTCTGCAGCCAAGCGATGTGTCAGAGGTGATTTTGAGTTTTAGTGAGGGAATATACTCTGTTGCCCCGCTGAAGGAAAAAAAACGTCAAGCTTTTTCAGAACACCTAAACTTGAAGCAATGGCTTTCCCAGTTCAGTTTCCCACTGGCGAAAATACACTGGATGATAACAGGCCAATGAAATTAACACCCTGCAATTATTTCAAATTAAGGCTTTGCTGTGTCGATGGCTGTTTCGCTAAAGATACAGACTACTTGTTCTTTGCTCAGTTTGTGACAGAAATGCATACCATGCCACTTCCAGCATGACAATACAGTTGCGTAAAGGCAAACCTTTGACTCGAGATGGCCGCAAAATCACCAATGCCATGTTGCAAAACAAACGAGAAGTCGAAAGGCTAGTGCGGAACAAAGATGCAATAAGATTCATGACACCGCTGAGAGGCACCCCAGCGTATTGGCAGAAAACAACCAAAGACTTGTTTGCGATGATTTGGGCTCTAGGCTCGCCACAATTCTTCTTAACTTTCAGTGCCACAGAAATGCGTTGGAAATGGGTTATCACAGCAATTAAAGACCAGCAAGGTGAACACGTGAATTTTGAAGAGCTGGATTGGAGTGTGAGATTTTGCGAAGTAATCCTGTCACCACAATGTGCATGTTTGACAAATGTGTCGAGGCACTGTTCAGAGATCTGATCCCGTCCCCCGCACAGCCTATCGGCAAAGTCGTCGACTACTTTTACCGGCTCGAGTTTCAGCACAGAGGAAGCCCAGACATTCACGGTATGGTATGGGTGGCAGGCACACCTGTGTTTGAAGAATGCTCTGATGAGGAGGTGTGTAAGTTTGTGGCCAAATTCATCAAAGCTGAGCTGCCTGATGAAAACGACGACCCAGAACTGTACAAAATAGTCAAAGAAGTTCAGATGCACAGCAAAAACCACTCCAAGACGTGTGTGAAATACAGTGGTGCAAACTGTCGTTTCAGACTTCCCAATACAACAGGTGTTTGCAGAGCAAAACCAACGGCAGTCAAGTGATGCTGAAGCGTGGTCCCAAAGACGTTTGGGTAAATGGCTACAACCCCTACCTTCTTAAAGCCTGGAATGCCAACATGGATATCCAATTCATTCTCAACCCATACTCCTGTATCATGTACATGTGCAGCTACATCAGCAAGGCGGAACATGGTCTGAGTGAATATCTGAAAATGGTGATACAAAACTCACATCAGGAAGATGTCAACGAAAGTGATGAAATGAAACCAATAATGCAGGCCTACTCCAAAAAAAGAAAGGTAAGCACTCAGGAGTGTGTTGCTCGTGCATGCAGTCTACACATGAAGCAGTGTTCATGCAGCATGGTGTTTGTGCAGACAGATGACAACGCACTGAAAATGAGTTACCCCTTGTCACACCTGGACAACAAACCTTCAGAATCGGAACATCTGTGGATGACAGGGTTACCTGATAAGTATGTATGCAGACCAGAAACACCAGACTTTGAGGCAATGTGCTTGGCAGATTTTGCATCAAGCTGCAGAATTGTCTACGGAAAACAGACAAAAGGCAAAAACTGTCATCGCCTACTGAATGAGATGGGGTTTGTCCAGAAGAGAGCAAATGATGAAAAACATGCTATCATCAGATATCGACCCATTTCCCTTGAGAAAGATCCGGAGCTGTATTATGGCACATTGCTTAAACTGTACGTTCCTTATCGCTCAGACAACCAGCTGAAATCCAACCACTTACCAACTTACCAGTCCTTCCACGACCATGCAGCTGTTTGGTTACCTGGATCACAGCATCCTTAGCGCGTGAAGGTAATTGTGAAACGTAACAGAGAAAAACATAAGAAACACTGTGAGTCCATTGACAGTGACATTCAAGAGTTTGAAGAAAGAGGAATGTTGCTAAACAAATGGGGCAACCTGGCGCTAGAGAGTGAGATCGAACGGCTCGAGTGTTTAGATGAACTTAAACAAAGAGAAGCTGATGAAGAATGGAGAATGTTCCAGACTACAATGAGAGGTCAGACGTGAGGCAAGAATCTGCAGTCACGATCGAAGCTCCTGAGATTGATCCTGCAGTGCTGCGTGAGATGTATCAGAACTTGAACCAAACGCAAGCTTCAGTTTTCCACACCATCCGGGACTGGTGCTTGAAATGTGTTTGTGGTTTAAAACCAGAGCAGTTCTTCTTGTACATTAATGGTGGCGCCGTAACAGGTAAGTCTCACCTAATCAAATGCATCCATGCAGAGGTGTCTAAAATACTCAGCAGACTTCCAAGAAATGCAGAGGAAGCAGACATCTCTAAACCTACCGTTCTCTTGACTGCATTCACTGGTACTGCAGCATTCAAAATTTCAGGCACAACATTGCATTGTCTCTTGAAGCTGCCCAGAAGTCTCAAACCTCCTTTTCAAGGTCTTGGTAACAAACTTGACGAAGTCAGGGCAGAGCTTTCAAATGCAGAGATACTCATCATTGATGAAGTCTCCATGGTCTCCAAACATCTCTTTGCCTATGTGGATGCAAGACTGAAACAAATCAAAGGAAGTCAGAGACCCTTTGGTGGAATGTCAGTACTCACTGTTGGAGATTTCTACCAGCAACCACCTGTCAGACAGTCGAAACCCCTGTGTGTGTTCGACCCGACTCAGATCAACGTCTGGTGAGACAACTTTCAGATGGTCACACTGACTGAAATCATGCGTCAGAAAGATGATGTCGCTCTTGCTGAGATGCTGAATCGAATCCGTGTCAAAGGAAAGACAGTGTCTTTGTCTCATGAAGACAGAGTTCTGCTTTCACGGGCCTTAGCTGACTCATCTCAATGTCCAAAAGACGTACTGCATGTTTATGCAACAAATAAACAGGTTGAGGAACACAACTCAAAAACACTGGATGTGTTTTACTCTGACGTCACCACAATAGATGCGGACGACTACAAAAAAAATCCAACCACCGGGAGAATGACGAGACAAAGTGTACCTTTCCAAGGAAACAAAAAGGAGTTGCCTGAATCGATAAAAAGGGGCCATCGGCGCTAATGTCATGGTAACCAGAAACATAAATGTGCAGTCAGGTCTCTGCAATGAAACATTTGCACGCATTGCAAAAATTGTGACTAAAGAAGGAAATCTGCATGTTGAAAAACTCTGACTTAAACTGAACAGTCAAAGTGCAGCAGCCAGTGAAGCAGTTGCTGATGAAAATATCGTGTACATTGACAGAGACGAGGAGAATCTGAAACAGGCAGGAGTTGTCCTAAGACAGTTTTCTATCAAGCTCGCTTTTTCATGTACAATACACAAAGTTCAAGGGATGACAACGTCCTTGGCCGTGCTCTCACTGAAACACATCTTTGAACCCGGCATGGTCTACGTTGCTCTGAGTAGAGTGACCTCTCTGAGTGGACTCCACATTCTAGACATGGATGAGAAGAAAATCTATTGCAACCCTGAAATCACCGTAGCTCTTGAAAACATGTCTAAAGCTTCACTTGAACATGTCATGCCTCTCCTCAAGATGCCAGAGACATTAAGCAGGCCAGACACTCTCATTGTCATTCATCACAACTAGGGCTGTTGCGATTCGCCTATTCCACGATTCGATTCAACTTTCTATTCTAAGGTCACGATTCGATTCGATTCTCGATCCGATATGACTTTTTTTTACCTCCTTTTTTCAGCATTGTGAGCTGTACGACCATTAATTAGGCCACTTTCTTGATTTGTAAAGAAAAACACTTTTTCTCAATCAGTCACTTTAATGACAAATGAGAAGAATTCAATGTTTAACATAAACAAACATTATAAAATAAATAATAAACTTAGGGTTTTATGCCCTAACAACTTCCATTTTCAAATTCTTCTTTAAGAAGATGTAACAGTTATTTTCAGGTAACAATCAATCAACCAATAATGTTGAACAACATGTAAGAAAAAAGGACCAACAAACAATGTAATTTGGCTACATTTGGCTCAAATTCAAATTCTTCCACAGTGAGTCCACTGGACCACTACTGTATTATTCACATTATTCTAACAGAGAGCTTTCCTTTTACAAACATGAAATGTGAATAATGCCAAAGCCATTCCATTCATTCAAGCTCTATATCTATGTGCAAATTCTTCTTAAGGAAGATGAGCTTGTTCACATTTTCTGGAGAGAGGCAACTCCTCTCAGCTGTTATGAGGTCCCCTGCTGTTGAGAACACTCTTTCACTGGCAACACTGGTTGCTTGAACAGAAAGATAACGTTTGGCAAGCTTTGCCAAGTGTGGGTACACATGCTCATTCTTTTTCCACCACTTCAGGGGATCTGAATCAACAGTGATTGGTTGAGTGTGGCCAGTCACTTCATTGATTTCAGTGAGGATGGCGTTCCTGTAGTGCTGAATCTCCTCTTCTACCACCTGAGGAAATGGTATGGGGGCTCCTGGTGTAGTGTGGTGGGGCTGGGCTGTGCTGAAGAAATTGCCAAACAGTTCACTGAGTGCTGTCTTCTTTGCTGGGGGGAGCAGATGTTGATGCAGCTTCTGAATCATCTGCTGGGCTCCTCTCCCTGGTGCCCTCTCCAGAGGCCTGGGCCTAAAAGGTCACACAATACAGAAACACAAAACAGAAAATAAATGAGGTGTGCCTCTATTATGACTGAGGACATTTGTGACAACATCTTTGGTGAGCTATTTTTTATCATGACATATTAAAAAATAATTATATGACTTTAAATATTTAAGAATAGTGTTTAGTTTTAAACAAGTCAATGAAAACAATAAAAAAATACATATTACATTTTAGTTAAATTATTATTGTTAAAATTAATATAGCACATACCTCTGTGGGATGCTGCTGCAAGATTTGCTCAGTCAGACTTTTGAAGATCTCACTCTGGGAGAGGTCATCCAGGTGGGGTAGGGACTTGAACCTAGGATCTAGTGCAGTGCTCTGTTTCAGGAACTGTTGAGTTGCTGGGTCTGAATATCTGTCCTTGAAGTTAGCTGCAATGGCATTCTTCATATCCCTCACAGTGGGTGGATCTGTGCCAGTGGGTCTCATAGATGTCAGGATTGTGTGATGGAGGGGATGGATCAGAGATACAGTTGGCTGTTTTTCAGAACTCAGAGTAGTGGTGACTGTTTTTAAGGGCTTCAGCACCTCAACCGCTGCCTCCATGACTTTAATGTCAGAATCAGTGAGGGTGATGAGGTCTTTTACATTCTTCTTTACGCTGTCCTCTGTGAGTGCAGCATAAACTGCAGCCTGCTGCTCTAGGTAGCGCTCAATCATTTCATAGCTGGAGTTCCATCGTGTCTTAACATCATGAATTAGCTTGTGATCGGGCAGCTTGAGATCTTTTTGTTTGCCACCATAGACTGCTGCTGCAGTTGTACAGCGGTGGAAAAATGCCACTATCTTCCTGATTTTGGACAGAATACGGCTCATCTGGTTCACGTCCAAGCCCTTCTGTGATGCCAGATTGACTGTATGTGCAAAACATCCTATCTGTGGTGACATCCCAGCCTGCTTTGTGGCATTGACAACGTTTTTGGCATTATCTGTTGTCACAGGGATCTTGGTATTTGGTCTTTCTAATTTCCATTCCACTGCAGCTTTTGTCAGAACATCAGACAAATTCTCACTTGTGTGGGATTCATAGATTGGGAGAGTTTGAAGGACATGATTTTTCATCTCCCAGTTCTCATTAAGATAGTGTGCTGTTACTGTGATGTAACTTTCTGTTGCTCTAGAGGTCCAGCCATCAGTTGTAATGGCAATGGATTCAGCACAGCTCAGTCCTTCAACAATTTCAGCCTTCACATTCTCATACAATTCTGGCATCAAGGTTGTGCTCACATAAAATCCGCTTGGTATTTGCCAGCGTGGTTCTAGAACCCTGCAAAAATATCTAAAGCCAGGGCCCTGTACTAATGAAAGCGGACGCATGTCTGCTCCTATCATCACAGCAAGTGCGCTGTTTATGTCCTTAGCGCGAGCCGAATTTGGTGCAAACTTTTCTTTTTTCTTAATGGCGTCTTTGATTGAGGGCTGCGTCAGGTTTTGTGGTTCTTTCACATCTTTGTATTGACGGCTGAGATGCTGTGCCATATTCGTTGTGTTGCTTGTGGAGGGATACGGCACTCGCATATAGCAGAGTCGACAAACAGTATGCGTCTTACTTACGACCCGTCGAGAGCCCTCACTCTCATAATGTACAGGGAAGCCAAAATATTTCCACACTTTAGACCTGTATGAAGCGGGAGGGTTTTCCAGCTCTTCTCTGGGGACAGGCTCATTCTTGGTGTCGTTGTTTACAGACGCAGTGGCCATGGTGAATTGAATTCGCTGTGTATCTCTCTGTAATATATATCTGCGGTCTGTTCGCTTTCGCTCTCATTCATTTCTGTTGTTACTCCGATCGCCTCTCCTTTTTTCTCTCGCCCATGTCGGAAGCACGCATGCGTCAAGGCAAGGTGTAGTGAGACAGTGGGAGCCCTAACGCAAATACTCCCCTCCCATGGGACACATAACTCATGTGACTCGTTCTCGTCCAATGGGACAGGAGTGTTGGTTTGGGATCTGACTGTCTGATGATAGCCTAGCCACAGCCAGCAGCCACACACACCCATAACAAAACCACATGGCTCGGAGCCTCGGACGTGCGCGGAAGTGCATCGCGACTCACGTTGTGATTTCGATACGTTGAATCGAACGTCTATTACGAGTCATTTCGATTAAAATCGTGAATCGCAACAGGCCTAATCACAACACAGAAGGACTACCAGCTCAAATCACTGACATCAAAAGTCACCATGAACTACATCTTGCAGACGCGCTCTGTCTCACTGAAACTCATCTGCAAGGATCCTTTGTTGCTGAGAGTCTCCATCTTGAAGGCTACGACATGTTCAAACGTAACAGAAACATGTCTTATTCAAACCATCCTGCCATGGCCACTTAAAAAAACTGTGGCGGAGTTGCCATCTATGTGAAAAAACACATCAGAGTCCTTGAGAGACATTTCATTCAGAATGCCACTGATATTGAGTTCAGTGTCATCAAACTTGAAGCTCCTTTCAGGGCTCTAATTGCTGCCATCTACAGGCCTCCTGACTACAATGTTCACTCATTCATATCCAACCTCAGAAGTCTCTTGGATTCACTGGAAGTCATGGATCATCATCCCATCTTAGTCTGTGGAGACTTTAATGAAGATTTGCTGTCAAGAGCAAGGAAGCCCATTCTTGAACTGTTTCAGTCCAAAGGTTATGAACAACTCATAATTACTGCTACCACTGAGAAGAACACACTGCTTCACCCAATTTTCATCTCTTGCCCGCAGTCCTGTGTCCATTCTGGTGTGCTGCGGACATACTACAGTTACCATCATCCTGTCTACTGCGTATTAACTTTAGAAACACCCTGAATAGAACTGGCTGGTTTAAAATCGTGAACTTTGTGCAAAGTTAAGGAAAAAAAATCATTGCGTCCATTACTGTCAGTTTACACGTTGCTATTTAAGAGGGGAGTTTTAGTTATTGGTCTCCTAATCGATCACCTTATGAAACATAATAAACACTTTAATTTTAAGGTGGGGGGTCGTCCTCAGCAGCCAGGCTGTAACACCTGCTCTGGCTGCTGCTCTAGCTTTTATAAGGCTGGGAGGGAGGGATGAACAGACGACCCCTCCTATACCAAAGAAAAACATTCCTGCAAATACTTATTAGTCACTGTACAATGTGAGATTAAAGGCAACATGTAAAACTTTAATACATTACTGAAAACTGTAGTGAAGTAAAATAATTAAGTGCAAAGGTCAGTACATTATTAATAGCATTTAAAAAAAAATCCAAACTAACAGTGAGACAAATTAAAATATAAGCTAAAACTGAGCATTTTAAAAGAAATAGTAAAAACTAGAAAAATTGCATTTCCTTGCAGAAAATGCGTGGAAATGCTAAAAAAAAATGGAGGAAGGTTTAAATGTAAAATTGGTTAAATGGCTGGAGAAAGAGAAGTACAAGTTGGACGAAAGTGAAAATTGCTGGAGTACAAATAGTATGAATGTGCTTCATAAATTAAAATTGCATTCATGCTGAATAAGGCTAGAAAAACTGTCTGAAATTGCAAAAAAAATGGATAAGGAAGAAAATTACCTTGAAACACAGAAAAGTGAGAAGTGGCATAAGTTTAAGTTGGACTACTAGAAGTTGTATGATAATAGGTAGTTGTAGTAGTGATATTTGTAGTCATGTAAGCAGTAGAAGTAGTTTTAGAAGAAGTAGAAGTCAAAGCAGTAGAGCTTGTGGTAGAAGTAAGAGTAGAAGTAAAAAAAATATGAAGAGAAGCAAGAGCAGTGGAGGTAGAAGTGAAGATACAAGTTAAAGTGATATAAGTAGTAATTGCAGTGGTAATTAAAACATACATAAATAATGAGAATGATTTTGAAGTGGGAAAAATTTTAGATAATTAGAAGTCCTACGTGTTAAACAGGTTTGAAGTATCAGAAAGGTTTGAATGAGTTTGGATTTGTCTGAAGAATTTAATAATGCATGAATAATGAGAATAATTTTAAAGTGGGGAAAAGTTAAATGAATAAAAATCCTGAGTACACCCCATAATGTCCTCAATGAGCTGAATTTTTGGAGCCCTGAATGGTTTCTGTAGGTCAAAGTTTGTAGTCCTCGCTTTGTGGGTCTTTTCTCATAGACCTCACAAAGCAGCAAGTACAAGAATGTTTGTGTGTGTGTGTGTTAATTAATGCATCTTAACAGGTGTTAGACATCAAAGGCATTAACTGACCTACTGTTTGAATGAGAAGCTGCTGAACTGCAGTGAATTTAGGGCCTCTGAACTTCTTCACATAGCACGATTTCCTTAAATCCCAGATTGAAAATAAGAACATTGTACAAATCCTCCGCCCTTCATGAACACAATGATGTGTTTTTCATGTCTGTGAGTGTCACAGCGAGTTAAAAAGGTCTGAGCCTGAGTGATGATCAGGATTTTCTTGGAGAAAAAATACATTAGGTTTAATGGGAGAGATTTCCGCCTATTTGGACATTTGGTCACCTGCTGGCCAAGGGGTACGATTTACTGATTTGAAACCTCTTTTGTGAGAAGCAGAACACATATACCTCCATTTTTATGTTTTTTTTTATGGCTGTGGAGTGAAATTTGTGGGCTTGGGAGCGATATATTCGAGCAAGGTTCTGTCAATCCAAGAGGAGGTCTGCACTCTAGCGATGTAATCAAACACTCTAGCCTCTCCAATACACACCCATTATAAAGCCTGAAATTTGCTGAAAACTATGAGGTGCTTAAAGCTAAATTGTGGGAAAACTGTAGAAGATAGCACAAAAAAGTGAATACAGAAGACAGAAGAATACAGAATTGGAAGATTTCCCCATTGACTTCAATGTTAAAATTTTTGCACAAAAAGTCAAAAAAAAAACAAAAACCATAAATGGTAGAAAAGTGAAAAGTACATCCGCACATGTACTGAAGGAGAGGAACAGTTGAAATAGCACAAACTGGGAAGGTGTTGAAAAGGGCCAATAAATGGCGGAAGAAAAAAAATAAAAATAAAAATAATAATAATAATAATAATAATAAAGAACAGAATAACAATAAGTGGAAATGCTTAATCAGCGATATTCTGATATCATGATAGCTCTACTTCAGAGAGGTACAACCCAATGCAACAGTTACTCTCAAAGATTACCTAATGTTTTCTTCATGTGATGCATTCTCAGTGCTGATGATGGCCACATGAATGTCTTCTCTGCTCAGAGCCTCTTGTAATGAGATCTGACTCACCCCCTGCTGAGTTTCCAGGTTTCTCCTATTAAGAAAAACACACCAGCCATAGCAATCAATTACACTGTAAAGAATGAAAAAAGCATCTTAAACATACAACTGCGCACTGTTTATTAAGGAACTTCGTAGGAAATATGCTGTTGAGTTAAAAAGATGAAGAAGCTCAGCTTTAGGGTTAGCATTCCTATAGAAGAACCACCCTTTATAGGTCATTCAGTTACATCTCAACTATGAAGCTTTTTAAACCTGGCATCTACACAGGGTTTATGCTGAGTTGATGGCTTTAGTCTTCATCGTGCATTAACTATGGATCTCCAGTGACCACTTTATGATCAGTACTCATTTTCCTGCTTCTGATGCAAATGAACACAGAGCCTTATTCTTCAGTAAACCATAAACAGAATTAAATGATAAACCTTTTTTGCCAGCACAGGGTGAATGCTGCAGTCTCTCTCACACATATTCTGCAGCTCCAGCAGCAAAAGTGGGCATCTCAGACTTATCTCAAACTTGCGTATACGATGTGAGACAGTCTCAGGACTGGTCTCACATTGTGTACGCAAGTTTGAGTAAGTGAGGATTTGTGGTGCAGCAAATGTCTGTCTCAAAATAACTGATAAATAAACATCACCGCCACTGCTGAATGAATGTAGGAGAAACACTGTAATGTCACCTTTAGTATAATAATATATAATATATTAATATAGCACCTTTAAAAACACGTTTACAAAGTGATTTAACAGAGGAAACAAAACAAAGGCAGAAACAGACAAAGGAAAATTCACAGTTAAAAATGGACAGTTAAAAACAAACAAACAAATAAAAATTACATTCTAATCCTTTGCAAATAATACAGACATATCACACGGCCCTACAGGGAAACATGTATGTCACCTGGATATGAACCCTTTGACAGTCAGTTTTTCAGCAGCACTACCGGGCAGTGGCACTAAGATGTCTCGGATCCTCACCCAACCCACTGTGCCAACGCCAACCACCACTGCTCCTAACATGCTGACTGAAAGAGAAGGGGGTTGGGGTTAGTTACATGCTGTTATGATAAGATAGGATATTCCTTTATTAGTCCCACAGGGGGAAATTCCCATTGTGTCTAAGATATCCAACCAACCATCCAACCAACCAACTAACCAACCACCTCACCATCCATTACCAATACCAAAATTTGATGGGGATATATAAAAATAAACAAAATAAATAAAAATTATGTTTCATACCCTTTTCAAACAAGGTCCCTTTTCTTGAGGATCAACCTTTTTCACCTCTAAACCACAAAAGCATAAAAACATGCCTCATTTTAGAAAATGTGGTGTCAGCAGCAGTTTTATTGGATCTTTCAGTTAAAAAACCTTATCATATTATAACTTTGTGGCAACAAATTGTCGCACTTTGGCATATGTCTAATAGCTTGATTTGGTAGTATGAAGTTAGGGTCTAGAAAGAACTAACAATCAACTCCATAGAAAAAAAACTTCTGTTCATCTTACAATCCTTTAAGATTTTTTGTCCTTCAAGTCCTTGATTTCTGCAAGCCCTCATACTTTGGGGCTTTACAACATAGTGTACCCAGCTATTTTCTTTTGTCGATTCAGGGACATTTTGTTCAGCAGAAAGACATCCACTGTGGGAAACACCCAGCTGTAAAAAATAACAATTATACAATGTGTGAGAAAGTGTTTTAAAGTTGTGTTGAGTGAGACATGCTGACGTTAACATCTGATTCATAGCTCCTAATCCTGATTTTCTTGTCAAGGGGAAAGTTAAGGAAACCAGGTCCTGATCCCAAACCACAATATGTCAGATCTGGACTGCATTATCCAAGCAATGCTACAGAATTTTCAAAACACAGATTCAGATCTGTGAAACTGTGATTCTATCTGTAAAATTGCCACAAAAAAAAAAAAAGAAAAAAAAAAAAGGACCTGGTTAGCATAGTTGAGGTCAATAGAGCATTATAATAACTATCGGTCATGCCTCTATAAAACATTTCTGGTTTAGGTCCTGGCCCAATGTTGTGGGGGGGTGATAAACTTTGTAAAAAAAAAAAAAAAGACTGTAACTTCTTTAAGACAATCTGGTCCAGATCTGGCAGTTAAGTCTGGGAGCAGGGGTTTTGAGTCTGTAACTGTTTTCTTTAACCAGCTCCTTAGTCATATTTACAACGTGAAAATCAGAGGCTAACTTCAGTGACAGCCTATTCTGTAATTTTTTTTATGAAGTGATATAATACAACGTAATATTAGGTATTATTGCGTCAATGGAGCCCAACTTCACAAGATTTCGTTCATACATCTATGACCATCTCTGATCTAAAAACTGACAAGGAGAGCTCTGCTCATGGAAAATACGCCAGGAGTAGTGCCGATAGCAATGATACAGTTTGAAGAGACTTGTAGGATATACCGTAATTAACCTTTTTAAGCATCATGAAAGCTATTTCTCCCAATAATATACGATAAAATACGCTGGAATCAATGTCGGAATATAAATTAGAAGTTGCTCACCCTGTATCACTGGGCTGTGCTGTGAATAATAAAAATGAGTTAAATAACTTTCTTCTTCTTCCTCGTCTTCTTCTTCTTCTTCTTCTTCTTCTTGTTTTACGGCGGATGGCAACCAACGTTAGAGGTGCATTACCGCCCCCTACCATGCAGGAGTGTGAGCCAGAGGTCTTCTTGTACTTCTTCTTCTTGGATTTGATTGGCGGCTGGCATCCAACAATTTGGCGCATTGCCGCCACCTACCGAACTGGAGTGTGGAACATTAGATTGGTAATTTACAAAAAAAACAAAATAAATAAATAAATAAATAAATAAAATAAATAAAAAAAAAGGGAACCCCCTCCAAACCCTACTAGATCCTTTTAACTAGGCCAGTTCTTCTCAAATATCTTTGTACATGTTTATTGCTCTCTTTTGTTCTCTGTAACACACTCCTTAATGTAAATCCAATGTTTTCCTTTTTTAAGCCATTTTTTAATACTTCCCTCTCTCTTTCATACTCCCTACATTCCATTAAGACATGTTCGACTGTTTCCTGTACATTGCAGCTTTGACACTTTCCTGTGGGGTGTTTACTTATTATTTTTAGTGTGCTGTTTAACCCTGTGTGCCCAAGCCTAAGACGGGTGATGGCAACCTCCTCCTTCCTGCTCCTGCCAAATACCCGTCCTCCACCCACCTGACTCTGTATCCTGTAGAAATGTCTCCCAGTGTCATTGATGTCCCAATATTCCTGCCAAACTCTCTGCATCTGTGTTTTGATTATTGACTTCCCTTCAGCTCTACCCAGTGGAATGCTGTTTTTTATTGTTTGTGCTCTGACAGCTTGTTTTGCAAGTGTGTCTACTTCCTCATTACCCTCAACACCTGCATGTGCTGGAACCCATACAAATCTGGTTGTCCCCCCCTGTTCTGTATCTGGTGTAGCAGTTGATGAATCTCCATAACAAGATCTTGCCTACATGATTTCATTGTTTTGATACTTTCCAGTGCTGCATAACTATCTGATGCTATTACTGCATGTACAACACTCCCTCCCTTCATCCACTTTAATGCAAGTATAATTGCTAAAAGCTCCACTGAGTATACTGAGGCATGATCAGTAGCCCTTTCTCTAATTGCCAGTCTTTGTTCTGGGACGAAGACTGCTGCCCCGGTGCGCCCTGTCTTTGGATCTTTTGATCCATCCGTAAATATCAACAGTTTATTTGCATAGTTCTGTTCAATGTATCTTTGCACAATATCTCCTGTATTCCCTGATTTCTTCTTTACTTTATCCTGAATACCAAAGTCCACTGTTGGCTCCTGAAATACCCATGGAGAGATTTCTGGTAAAGAATGACTTGATACAAATTGCATGTTGCATAAACCAACACTTTCGGCTTTTACATTCCCTACCCAGCCCAAACTCAAAAAATTGGTCTTGTTGTGCTCTGAGCATTCCTCTAATATTGCTTTTGCTGGATGTGACCTTTTGTGCCCCTGCAGATATACCCAGTATGCCAGCATGTGTTTTACCCTTCTTATCCTTAGAGGCTCTTCCCCTACCTCAACTTGAAGAGCAGCCACTGGAGAGGTTTTAAACGCCCCACTGCATATCCTCAGCCCCTTAGCCTGTTCCACGTCCAGCTTCTTCAGGTGACTCTCTGCTGCTGACATATAAGCCACACTGCCATAATCAATTCTGGACCTCATCATTGCTTGGTATATGTTTAACAGAGACTTCCTAGTTGTACCCCAATCTCGCCCTGCCATGCACCTCATAAGGTTATTAACATTTTTACATTTATCTCTCAGTTTTTCTATATGCTGCTTCCAGGTAAGTTTTTCATCAAATAAGACACCCAAAAACCGTACTACTTTAGCTTGTTCTAACGTTTGATCATATAGTTTTATTGACACCTCTTTATGTCGCTTAGCAAAGCATATTACTTGGGTTTTCGTCACTGACAGTTTGAATCCCCATCTATTTGCCCACTGCTCCACTTTATCAACCGCTGCCTGCAGCTTTTTCTGCAGATAATCTTGATTTCTCCCTCTTACCCATAAGGCCCCATCATCAGCAAATAATGATTTACTTATTCCTCCCCCCACCTCCTCAAATATATCATTGATCATACAATTAAAAATTACTGGACTACACACACTCCCTTGCGGGGTTCCATTTTCAACCTCATATATTGGAGAGAATTCCTGCCCTACTCTCACCTCTATTGTTCTTCTAAATAAAAAACTTAGTACCCAGTTATATAATTTCCCTCCCACTCCCATCTTATCTAATTTAATCAGCAGCCCTTCTTTCCATAACATATCATATGCCTTCTCTACGTCAAAGAACACAGCCATCACTATTTCTTTATTTGTCTGTGCTTTTCTGATATCTGACTCCAAACTGAGCACTGAATCCATCGTGTTCCTTCCTTTGCGAAATCCACTTTGATATGAAGAAAACAGGTCATGACTCTCTAAAAAAAACATCAGCCTTTCTGTTACCATCTTCTCCATTGTTTTCCCTAATTGAGATGTAAGGGCAATTGGCCTATAATTTGATGGATCTGATGCTCCTTTACCTGGTTTCAAAATTGGCACTATTACTGAGTGTTTCCATGCCTGTGGACTCCCTGACTCCCATACTTTATTAAATAACTTTAATATTACCCCCAGTGACCTGTCATCCATGTGATCTAACATACAGTAGCACACATCATCTTTTCCTGGTGACGACTGCCGCGTTTTGGCTACTGCTCTTCTTAATTCATACAAATTAAAGGGCAGATCTAGATCATCCCCTCTTGCCTGCTTTTTCTCTCTAATCCATGTGTTTTGTGTCAGTACATTCTGCCTATGCTGCTTTGCTTCTGTTGAGATATTTTCTGAGCTATGAACTTGAATTAATGTTTCTGCCAGTAGTGTCGCCTTCTCTAAATTACTAACTGCTGTTCTATCGTCCTTCTTCAGAATCGGGATTGTTATATTTCTTTTTATTCCACTCATTTTCCTAATCATTCCCCAAACTTCTGACAGCTGTACCTCCTGCCCTATTTCACTACAGTACTTCCTCCAACATGCCCGCTTAGCTGCTCTGATTGTCCTTTTCACTACTGCCTGTGATCTTCTGTATTGGATTAATGTCTCCATTGTATGTTGCTTCTTTAACAATCTGAATGCCCTGTTGCGTGCTCTTATAGCCTGTCTGCAGTTATTATCCCACCATGGTACACTTTTTACACTTCTGCCCCCAGACACTTTTGGAATTGTCCCATCAGCCGACTGTATTATAGCTGCTACCACTCTCTCATTCCATTCATCCACACCTGTCCATTGCTCCTCATGTAACTCCTCAAATATATTTCTACTCACTGCCTGATAAGCATCCCACTTAGCATTCTGAATTTTCCACCTTGGCACCCTCCTTTCCTCCTCTCGCTGCATTTCTACACCCACCTTACTAATCACAGGATAGTGATCACTCCCCATTAATATTTCATCTAGCA